TCATCTCACCTTCCTGACCTTGGTTTTCCTAGTCTATAAAATGGGTTGGAAGGAAGGTCAGGGAGTTGCATTAAAAGATGACCTTGATGTTCTTTTTTAGCTCTGATAGTCTGATTCTAAACTGGAACAGTGAATCTACCACCAAATTGGAACTTGGCCTTGTGGGGTATACCTCAATATTAGCTGTAATCAGGCTATTTATTACTTATTTTTTAAAAACAGTCACTCCTTCAGGCAATGGAATCAAAGAAGTGAGGGCATAACCTGCAACAGTTCCCAGTGGTAGAAGTGAATGTGTTCATGGGGGAGGGGACACTGAGGTGTGCTTTATGTCATCAAAGAGACTCCATCAGGGATGTTAAAGCTGATGGGATGAGAATCAGCTGATCTGCCCAAGGAGCCAGAACCCCAAACCTCTGCTGCTGTACTGGTTATGGGTCTCAACAACAGCCTATTGGATTGCGGCCCAATTAGAAGACAAGGATATTAGGTCTTCTAATTAGCATAATAATAATAATGTTTTTTGTATAGTGAGCTCCCATTTTCAACATTTCATAATCCTTTAAAAAGACTTGTAACGTAAGCATCATTCTCACTTCATTGATGAGCAAACATTCGTTGTCCCACTTATTTATGCATTCATTGGTTGCTTCTTATATATGTCCTGACCAGAGATTGAACCCACAACCTTGGTGTATCAGGATGATGCTCTAACCACCTGAGCCACCCAGCCAGGGCCTACCCAACTCTTTTGATTCCTAATACATTCTTTCCACTCTGCTAGAAAGAGTGTTTAGCAGTGTAGTTAAAATCATCCATTTTGGAGTCAGGCTCTTTGGGTGTAAAACCTAGTTTTGCCACTAGCCTTTGACCTTGGGCAAGATACTTAATCTCCCTGGGATTCGGTTTCCTCACCTGTAAAATGGTATCATAATGTCGGCATCAAATGAGTTATTGCAGGTGAAGGACTAGAACACTGCCTGGCACAGAGAAGTACTCAACCAGTGTCAGCAATGATTATTTTACCATGTTGTCATTTTGCCATACTCTTTCCCAATTTGGGGAGGAAGTGTTCTCCATAAAGAGAACACACAGATCACTTGTCTCAGCTCTGTTACCAAGTTGCTTTGGAAACTTATTTTGCTCTGTAGTGCGTCAGTACAGTCAAGGATGAAGAAAACGTCCACTTCCTTTTTACATGAGTTGCAAAAGTGAATCAAATGATGTCCACCAAGTATGCCGAGCTTCTCAGAGAATCCAAATTTTCTGCTTACATTACCAAGACTCATGGAAAGGTCTTGGTAGGATTTCCTGCCACTAAACCTATAAGCCCAGCTGAATTCTTACCTCCTTCTCTCTGACACTGATTCTTCTGGCTCTTTCCCTAAATCCCCTCCCCTCCCACAGCCTCATGGCTCGAATTCCTTCTGGTGAGCTCCCTCTCTTCTGGCTCATTCTCATCAGCATTTAAACAAGCTCAAGTACTTGCCGGCTTAAAAAAATAAGCAAGAAACCCCAATCTTTCTTCACATTGCCCTTTCTCTTCATGATCACAATCTTCTTGAATCATTTGCACTCATTGGCTCCACTTCCTTGCCTTCCATTTAATCAAACATTCATTCAAAAACTATCTGGCTTATGTGCCAGGCACTGTGCTGGATCTGGGGATCCAATGATGAGTAAAATGGACATTGTCTCTATCCTCTTGGAGTTTATTGATTTTTAGAGAAAGGGAGAGGGAGAGGGAGAGGGAGAGGGAGAGAGAGAAGAGCACATGCCCCAGGGTTCAAACCTGAAACCTAGGTATGTGCCCTGATGGGGAATTGAACCCAAGACCTTTTGGTGTATGGGATAACGCTCCAACCAACTGAGCCACCTGGCCAGGGCTATATACTCAGATTTATAATCATAAAGGATAATGAGTGTCATGAATGAAAAGGTCAGGATGCTATTTGAGAATAAAACAGTGAGTTATAACCTGGTTAGAAAGGTCAGATCATCTGAGCTAGATCTGAAATATGAGAGCGTTAACCAGGCAGAGAATGAAGAATAATAATGGCCACTACCTAACATTAATTGGGAATTATCTTTCTAGCACTTGACATATTTCATTTAATTCTTGTAACAACTCTGAGGATTAACTCCATTTTACAGAAGAGGAAACAGAGTCATTGAGAGGTTGAGTGACTTACCCAGTGTCTTTGAAGCAGACAGAGGTAGAGCTGGGACTTTAATTAACACAGACAGTCTGACACTTGAGTCATGTTCTCAGCTACGGGGACACAGAGTGTGTGGGTACCAGGCCTGATGCTGCAGGATGCATGGGGTATGTGAGAGATGGAGAGAAGGGCAGTGGGAGGGGAAACAGAGGGCAAGAGAGAATGTGTGATGAATTCAGGCCAGGAAGAAAGGGACTGTTTTATTTTTCTGCAGAAGCTTCCTGTTAAATATCAGGAGACAGAACCTGATAAACCCAAAGCTCAGAATTTATGCCACCAACTGCTGAATTGGAAAGAATATGTAAGGTTCCCATCTACACGGAAAATATAATCCTTTTAGAGCTTGGAGCAGAACTGAAAAAGATTGAGAGAGGAGAGCAAGAGTTTAGATGCAAACAGTAGTGGACAGAAGAGGCTTATGCTCCATATAATTCCTGGAACTCACAGCCTTTCAAAGTACCCTATGCCAACAGGGGCAGTCATCACAGAGTACAAATGGCATTGTCGCCTGTGTAGGCACAGCAGGTCTGAGATAAATCCCATCTCCTCACCGCCTCCAGCCTTCTCACCTACTAAGCCTGATTCTCCTTGGCTCCTTGATGTTTGGAGGCAATCTGGAAAGTTCCTCAGTTCCGCCCGCCCACCCCCCCACCCCCCCAAGGAGGAATATGAGAGTGACCTGAAAATTGAAAGCCAGGGTGCCTGTGGGGATTGCTTTGGTGTGTGTGTGTGTGTGTATGTGGGTGGAGGGGGTGAGAACCCCCCAGTAGAGGCTGAGGGGTACCTGACCAACCTAGGGAACAGATGGAGGTTCAGTAGCACCGGGAATGGCTGAGATGGGAGCCACCGAGCTCTCCATGAAGCAATGACTGCACTGTCTACACCAAGACCACAGGCCCCACCTGCCAGGGAGTTCTTCCGCCGATGCACTGGTCATAGAGCCCAGTGGCCAAGGCCAAGTGAAGAATTGAGAAAGGAAAGCAAGAGTTTAGATGCAAACAATAGTGGGCAGAAGGGGCCCAGTGGACCAGCAGGCCAGTGTAATGCCAACTTGGGACATGATTTTTTAAAATATATTTAAAAAATATATTTTTATTGATTTAAGAGAGAGAGATAGGAATAGCAATGATGAGAGAGAATCATCAATTGCCTGCCTCTTGCAAGCCCCCTACTGGGGATGCAGGCTACAAACGGGGCATGTGCCCTGACCAGGAATAGAACTATAACCTCCTGATTCATGGGTCAATGCTCAACCACTGAACCAACCCAGCTGGTCAAGGAAGCTACTCTTTATCAGTTAGGTCAGAGAGACAGAAGATGGCACACGACCTTACTCCCCCTCCCCCCAATATCAGAATGCTCCATAAATCCTGAACTAGAACATCATGAAGGGAAGGGGACAGGGAGGAGAACCCTAAGAAACTGCATATACCACTTGAAATGATTGAGTTGTCTTGAGTTGGCATTTTCCAGGTTTATCATTTTTCTGCCATTAGTAGAAATGGGGTCCGAAGAACTAAGTTGAGAACTAAAGAAAATTACATATTTCCTCATTGGAGTCTGTGATTGAGATTGTAAATAAGCCTGATAAACAGGTAAAGGTCAGAAAGGTTGGCTTGCAAGGGGAGTGCCAGCACCTCACAAGGACAGACGTGACTTCCTGCGACTACCGTGGACCAGCAGGCCAGTGTAACACCAGCTCAGGACGTAATTTGCAAAGAATAATCATGTATTTGAAAGTGAAAGTCTGCAGATGAGCCAAGGGAGAGTCTTAAGTCAAATGGGGCATTCTTATGGCAGGGTGTGGAGAGGCGGGGCCTGGAGGACAGAAGAGAATCTTACCTGGAGCCCCCTTACACAGTGTAGAAAAGTCTGGGGTTCTAGGAGCCCTGAGGGATGTGTTCTGAACTGAGCAAGGTTGTGAGTCAATGCTGTTGTTGACTAAAGTGAAGAAAATGGAATTGCTCTGAGGACACAAAAGTATTACATCCATTTATCCTTGTCCAACTTGGATTCAAAACAGCCCTATTTTATGGACCATCTCTCTAAAACTATTTTTAAGTTCCAAACCTAAACGCTATTAAAAACTGGGCCTAATAACCCATTTTAATGGTTCTAATCCTTCTAGGAGCAGGCTGGGATCAACCAGGATTCTCAATACATTTTATTTTAACCTGTCAATAACGAACCACTCCTATCTCCTAAGAAGCATATGCCACAAACCCTTGGTAATACAGACCCCTTGAAAAAATGTCTGATCATACCCGTATACCTGAAATAAATTTGGGTAGCATCTGCTTACTACCAATAGCTGAAGGGAAGTCTTTGGGGTTCCTTAATCAAATTGCACTGGAAAATGTGAATTGTGCCGGGAAACCTACAGTGCTAGAACCCAACAAGAGTAGATTTAGTGCACATCTTTGAAATATAGAAATTTTAGGTCAGTTTTCTGTATTGTAACTTAATTTACTTGTGCCGTGGCATTATTATTGTTCAACTATTAGTGGCACCCGAAACTTCCTGGCGGTTAGAAACAAGACTCTGGAGTCTTATGGCCTTGTTGAAATCCTGGCCCATCACATTATAATTGTGTGACCTTGAACAAATTATTTAATTTCTCTGAGCCTTGGTTTTCTCATCTGTAAATAAGAGATAATTTTAAAGAAGTTGTGGTAAGAAATTAAATAATGCATGTCAGGTGCCTGATGTCTGATAAGGAGCATTATTTTACTTGTTTTGTATGTAGGCAACTCTTGCCTTAAGTAAAACATACAGGCATACCTTAGAGATATTACAGGCTTAGTTCCAGACCAATGCAATAAAGCAAGCATTGCAGTAAAGGAAGTTGTAATCTTTTTGCTGGTGGAGGGTCTTGCCTTCAATCTGTAAAAAAAAAAATTGTAAGACAATTTGTAAAAACACAACATCCTTGAAGCACTATAAAGTGAAGTGCAACAAAATGAGGTGTGCCTGTAATGATGTAGGAAAATCTAGATTTGCATAAAAGGTTAATGGGAGAGGTTATTTGTATTGCAAAGGTATTCTTCAGTTTATGAGAGAACTGAAAACAAGTTTTTTTTTTAAAAAAATAGTCAACTTTCCATGTCGAAAATGATTTGATTCACACAAAATTGGGTTTGTATGATGTTTTAGGAACACAGCTCGTGTACACAGCACATTACATCTGGAATATAATCACTCAGGCCAGGCCTGAACCACTGTGACAAGTTAACAAGAGCAATCCTGGGTATTCCCCACTCCCTTTTACAAAAGGATTAGATGAGTTTTCTGTGGTTTCAATTCAATATAATGAAAAAAGTCTCCACCAAACCACTGCTGACCAGAACTGGAATGGGTTGATTCTGAGGTGGCGAATTTCCCAACACTAGATATCATCTTGTCAGGACTGTTGGAATGACTACTGCATGAAATAGGGAGGTGAATTAGGGCAGTGTTTCCCAACCCTATACACACTAAATATATTGTGCAAAGTAGATCAATTCTCTATCTTGAATACCAGGAAGACATGAGAAAGGAGGTAGAGAGAGCCTATTCAGGAAGAGGGGTGAGGATAAAGAAAAGGAATTGGAAAAAATATTGTTCCTCTGGTTAGGAAATACTAGATTAAATGACTTCTAAGATTTCTTCTAATTTGAAGATTCTAAAACTCAAATTGTCTCACAGATGTTATTTTAACTACATTCCTGGGGGAATTTTCCTATTTTAGTTGTGGAAAACTAGAACATAACACCTAAAGTGAGTGGTAAAATGGGAAAATAATTCAGACATCCTGGCCCCTTTAGACTTTTGATCCCACAGTCTGTTTTCAACTGGTGAGAATGAAAGTTGGGGAAACAGAGATAGAAATGGCCTGAAAACTAGAACAGATGAAAATCAAGTCAAATTAAGAAATCAGTGAAAAATCAGCTCAATGAGGTTCCATATACCAACTTTAGAGATTCTGTACATCAGCATTCCTGGTAAAGTACTTCAGAGTACCGTGGACACACCAAAGACTGATCCAAGACTGAACACGTGCCGTCAGTGTCCTTTCTAGTGGGGCCCCTACAAGACAGATCTTTGTCCCAGTTAGCCTATTTGTCTTTCAAATAAAGTTGATCATCTGGCCTTTGGATCAATAGATTTACTTCGCCGTCTGTGACTAGATTACATTGCTGTTTCCATTCCCAAGGCTTCTATGCCACAAAGAATACTTCCTTCCTAGTGGATATCAGCAGGTAGGACAAATGCACCTGCCTAGAAAGAAGGTAAAAGCCAATCACAGAGGGCAGAACCACTTTGTGCTACAGATTTTATTGGTTATCTAGGAAGAGGAGAAATTGGACACTAACAGGAAAGGAATAAGATCTCCTGGGCTGGCCCCAGAACCTGCTACTGGTGGAAAAACCAGAGACTCTGTGCAAAGGGTGATTCTCAGCCAGGAAAAACAGGAAGCAATCCAGTATCATTGTCAGTTATTTCAAGGAGAGGAAGAGAACAGAATGGAGTGAAGAAGAAAACATGACTCTAGTCATATAAACGTTGGTAGTGTTCTGGGGTTGGAGGATCTTTACTTTGCCCATAAATCTTAGAATGAGGAAGAATGAATGCTGTAGTCCAAGAAGTGGCACAAAAGTCAGCACCACTATGGCCTCTAGTGCCCCTCTCACCTAACATTCCTCTGCACAAACATCCCTGTTTGACCCCTGATAGGAAAGCAGAGAGAGGTGAGTAGTGAAGCTGCCCCAGATTCCGTGCTCCAGGTGGAGAAGGCCTCAAGAAGGTGACGGGATGAGCTAATCTGAGCTTGGTGGCCCCATTTCCAAGGATGTGATTAGTGGAGAGGCACCTGGGACCTGCTCCACTTCAGGAAACCCGGTTATGGGAACTGGTGGGGGACAGACTTTGCTCAGGACCTGAGAGAAAGTTAACCCTTTCCTATTGTCTGTATGGGAAACAGCTATTTTATTTTATTTTATTTTATTTATCTTCACCTGAGGATATTTTCCCATTGATTTTTAGAGAGAGTGGAAGAGAGAAGGAAAGACAGAGAGAAATATCAATGTGAGAGAAACACATCGATTGGTTGTCTCCTGCACGAGCCCCGACCAGGGCATGGGCGGGGGAGGAGCCTGCAACCAAGGTACACGTCCTTTACTGGAATCAAACCCCGGACCCTTTGGTCCACAGGCTGACACTCTATTCACTGAACCAAATTAGTTAGGGCAGAAATAGCCTTTTAATAGTTCTCTAGAGTGAAAGAAACCCCTCAAATAGACTTCATTTTGCATCAGCCTGATAAGGGGGACCTCAGGAATATTTTTCACCTAAGTTCTTGGGATCAGTCTCTTCAGGGCCTTCGACTGCTCTAAGGGAGCCTGAGAACAAGGCAGGACCTAAGAAGTGTCTAGGAATGACATACACAGAAAGGGCACATTCAGAAGGGAGAGCCAGCTCCAGTCCCTAAAATGTGACTGTTCACCTGGCAGCATCCTCTAGGAGGTCTGGTTTCATTCAAACCCTTGGGTTTGGGTCAGAATCAACCTGGGGCTCTTCAGGTGGGGTGTCTTCTGGCCAGACAGGGGATTTCTTCTGAAAATAAACAGGATGTCCAAGCTGGACAGGAAACACTAATCAAAATCCTGAGGTGTGTGGAGGAGTGGAAGCAGAATTAGTACACCACTAAGTCTAAGGACTGGGAGAGCCGGCCCTCTGAAGGCACTGCTAAAACCCTGGACACCAGGGCTGAAAACATCCAGAGCAGCATCCAAAGGCTTGTTGGTTGACCTAGTTGACGAAGGTGACTTTAATGAGTAGATCATTTAATTTCTTTGGGCCTCAAATTTCTTTATCTATTGAAGATAATTGATAACCTCTATAGTCCCTTCGGGCTCTAACATTCTATTGCTCTAAAAATGAGGTCTGAGTAAAAAGAGTTTTAAGAATGTGGAGTCAGTTTCCCGGCCCATGCACCAAAAAAAAAGAATGTGGAGTCAGTCCAATAGTAGATTAGACCCCAGACCCTAGACAGGTTGGGGGCAAAAACTGCTGGGTGAGAGAAGGGCTGGATGCTGTGGCTCATTCAAGCCTTAGTTTGTGGGAGATGAGGGCATCTGAGTTCACTGGCTCCTTAGTTTTTCAACAGAGGTGTTTGCTTCTCATGGTAATATTCCTGTTCCCATACTATAGAATTCTGAGACAAGCATTCAGGCAGGTCACATCCAGGTGGGAGATGCACTGGGTAGCTGTTGGGGAGTGGAAAGAGAGGTTTAAAGATTTTTGTTTCAGCCTGGCTGGTATGGCTCAGTGGTTGGACAGTATAACCTATGAATGAGGAGGTCACGGTTTGATTCCTTGTCAGGGAACATGTGTGGGTGCTGGGGTCGATCGCCAGTGTGGGGTGTGCAGGAGGCAGCCAATCAATGATTCTCTCTCATCATTGATGTTTCTCTCTCTCTTTCCCTCTCCCTTCTTTTTTGAATTAAATAAAAACATATTTCTGCCCTGACCGGTTTGGCTCAGTGGAGAGAGCATCGGCCTGCAGACTGAAGGATCCCGGGTTCGATTCCGGTCAAGGGCATGTACCTTGGTTGAGGGCATATCCCCAGTGGGGGGTGTGCAGGAGGCAGCTGATCAATGTTTCTCTCTCATCGATGCTTCTAACTCTCTGTCCTTTCCCTTCCTCTCTGTAAAAAAAATCAATAAAATATATTTAAAAAAAATAAAAACATATTTCTTAAAAAGGATTTTTGTTTCAGATTTGGCTCTGCCATTTACAAACTCAGTGTGATACAATCTCTTCTTGGAACCTCAGCTTCATTATTTATAAAATGATAACAACACTTCCCATACAAGATTGGGAGGACTACTTAGGATAAATAAGAAAAAGCAAAGACCATTTAGCACAGAGGAGATGCCCGCCAAATGTCAAGCCTGCATTAACCCTTGCCTGACTACAGGGGCTTATGCTGTGGAAGTCCTGATGGCAGGCCCTTATATCAAAGGTTAACTTCCTAAGTTCTGCCTACAACAGGGAGGGAGGGGTGGGGAGCTGTGTCCCTAGCTACCTCTGTTAGGCCTCTCCTGACTCTAGGATGGTGTTGGGCATTCCACTGCATGTTCATCCCTGAGGCTCGCTCCAGGGACAAGAGCTGGAGGCCCACATGACCCCACCCTTCATGACCCCACCCTTCATTCCCAACACCATTTTCAAGGTGGGGCATTTTCTGCTGAGCCAATACTCTCTCTCCATGGGAAAGACTTTAAAGAGCCATCCACCCTGGCCGGTTTGGCTCAGTGGATAGAACAGGGCTGGGCAAACTTTTTGACTCGAGGGCCACAATGGGTTCTTAAACTGGACCGGAGGGCCGGAACAAAAGCATGGATGGAGTGTTTGTGTGAACTAATATAAATTCAAAGTAAACATCATTACATAAAAGGGTACGGTCTTTTTTTTTTTAGTTTTATTCATTTCAAACGGGCCGGATCCAGCCCGCGGGCCATAGTTTGCCCACGGCTGGGATAGAATGTTGGCCTGTGGACTGAAGGGTCCCGGGTTTGATTCTGGTCAAGGGCATGTACCTCGGTTGCAGGCTAGATCCCTAGCCCTGGTTTGGCACATGTGGGAGGCAACCAACCGATGTGTCTCTCTCACATCTGTCTCTCTCTCTCTCTGTGTCTCTCCCAATCCCTTCCACTCTTTCAAGTAATTAATAGAAAAATATCCTTGGGTGAAGATTAACAATAACAATAGAGCCATCCTCATTACCTTGGTTTTTCAACCATCAAATAGTCTCACAAAAAAACCACACACACACACACACACACACACACACACACACCAAACAACTGTCTCCCAAGATACGGTGAGAGTTAAAAATTTATATAAAGAGCCAGTGGTGACAACAGGCAGTCATTCCACTACGTTAGCTCCCTTCCCCTTGGCAGCGCCCCTTCCTAAAGGGGCACCTGAGAGAGCAGGGAGTGAAAGGCTCCAATGATTCCCCAAAAATGCCAGTTCATCAAGGGTGCAATGGTATGATGAAGAATTTTCCAGAAATAAAAGCCACCTTTTTCCAACAGATTTACCTGTGAGCAACTGAAACGGGGAGAGTGGTCAATAGCGCTGAGCTCAGGCTCAGGAGAGCTGTGATTCAGGTTTCAGCAGACGTGTTCTTTGGAGCAGCACCAAGGTTGTGCACCGGACAGGCACTCCGCCAGCTGCCTGCCTGTTCTGTCCAATCCTGGCTCCGTGGAGCTGAGGTGGAAGAATTCTCCCTGAAGGAAAGCAGCCAACACCCTGTCCCACCCTTCTCCTTGGGCAACTCTCGGCCAGGCAGGAATCTCTCACCGGTTTCCTTTGGCTGCCCGAGGAACCAGCAGCCACATCACCCGTTTGGGCCCAACCCCCATTCGCCACACCCCTCCCTGAACTTGCCCCAGCCCTGAGCTGGAGTCTGGAGGGACTACCTTCCTTTCAGCAAGAAACACCGCGGAAACCCCAGAGCTTCTCCTGCCCGTGGAGCTTAGGAAAGCCAGCGCCTGCCTTTTCCCTGGGGGCGAGGTCCCCTTCCGGAGGGGCTGGCTGGGCACCCTGGCATTAGGCCTGGGGACATGCTGGGGACAGGCTGCCAGTGAAAATACAGGCCGCCCAGTTGTGTATTTCAAATGCCCCAATAAATTTTAACGTATAAGTTTGTCCCAAATATTGCATGGACTATACGTATGCTTATCGAGTTTTTATTATCGCTTTTGAAACTGTAACTCAAATTCAGCTGTCCGTCCGGCATTTTTATTTGCTAAATCTGGGAAACCAGAGATTGGCCTGGGGCACTTGGGGCAGCCCCCCCCCCGCCCCGCCCCCGCAGTGGTGAGTCTGGTTGGGGGTCAAGAACCGGCTTGGGGTCCCGCAACCGCGTCTTCTCCCCACTGAGGGCGGCAGAAGCGTTTTGGAAGGACCGTGGGAAAGTCTCCTTCTTTCGAGAGGAAGGAGGAGTCGTGGCCTGGCTTCCTTCCCGCTCACCTCCAGCCTCGCGCGCGCCCGCGGGCTTTTCCCAGCCCCGCGTC